ACAGCTGCAACATTATGGAATTCCCCTATGGGGCCTGAGTGTGTGTTCCATATGTGCTTGATCCAGTGATCCGGGGTAATAATGTTCAGCGCATAGAGAAGTTTGATATGCGCTATATAAGTATACAATAATAATAATAATAATAATAATAATGTCTGTGCGATGCCCTATGCTAACCGATAATTTATTAGGGCGTTGCCATGACGCACTATGGCAGAAAAGGGTTAGGGTTAAGAGTTAGTGACATTCAAATAAATAAATGCATTTTTTTTTTTATAAATCCAATGTTTTTCGTTTGTAACCGATTTCTGTATTTACACATGTTGGGTTTATAAGAAAAGCGCACAGTGGGTTAAGATCAGGTTTAGTAAGGAAAACATTTAGTTAGCCATGCACACTAGTTCCAACTCAGAACCAAGTAGCATCTTTTGACAGCTAGGAAACTAACTGATTAACTGACTGATTGAGTTACTGATTAAAAGATTGACTAATTAATTGATTGATTTATTTATCATGACTTTTTTCTCAGAGAATTTATGAACTATCATTTAAACACGTCATAACTTGTGACTGAATACATCATAGGAGTGATGGTTGGAATTATTACCTTAATTTTAACCAATCAGATGCCTGGAATCTATGTATGTGATATATCTATATATCATATAATCCATGTCCAACAATCATCATAAAATATAGTCCTTTTCAAATTGAATACTATTTTATACAGTAGTTCAAATTATAAATTTTATTTATAGTCCTTTCAAATTATATAACCATCATAATTCATATAATAATGCATTGTATTTTATAATCAAATATTCATTAAAAAAAAAATTATTTTTTAATAATGTATTTTACAATCATGTCCATATCATGTTCCAGTTATATTATAATGTACTGTATAATCTTTGATACTACTTTGATTAGTCTATGAGCAGATGCTGATTATTGTAAGCTTTTTTCTTGTCTCTGAGTTGGAATCTAGCATTACCCGTTCTCTAAGGTCATAACAAAAATCCACTTCGCTGTCGCCTTGGTTACCCAAAAGACATAGTCTACGTTCCCGCTGTAAGGCAACATAACATGTTACAAATCAAGAAAACAGGGACATGAGCCAACTTTCATTATGACAATTCCAATCATTTCATCTATCATCAGTTGGCACGGAAAACAAAAGTTTTGAAATGATTAAAAAAATAAGTGTAATGATAGAAAATATATAATTCATGGTAAAATTTTCACTACAGTAAATGCTGCTACTATTATCAATTAATGAAAATAGTTGTACAGCCAAATTGGTCTAAACAATAATATCAATAGCAGGTAATAATGAAGTAGCATTCTAACTAAATTTAAAGATATAATGTATTTAACACAAGCAGACGGTGTCAGCTTCAGGCGTGTCAAGTAGAAAATGAATACTAATACCTGCTTTCCAGTAGGGGAATTTATTCTCGCGACTTCCTGAACCCTGATTTGTTGCGCATTTTTTCTAATTTCCCAGAAGCGCAAAAACTCCGATAGAAATGTAAATGTGCATGCGTATGAGCCGACGCTTTGATTCGCGCGACCAAAATTTAAATAGTTGAAATCAGGATTAAGATAGAAACAACTTTATGTTTAATAAATTACATCTTCAAAGTTAGGCAGTTATTATTTGGCATCTTATGTAAAGAAAATGTTTCACATTTTCCAAATTAAATACAATTTTAATAAGTTTTGAATAAAAATTAGTTTTTTAATAATTTCTTTTTTAAATATAAAAAAAATTTCTCAATAGCTATTAGTTCATAGAATAACATAAGTACAGCAACTGTACAGTATAATGAAAGTTGACCATAAGAATAGACACCTTTCTGTCTTTACATTGGCTTGACAGAGACACTGAGGGTGCACTACACTGGTGCTGTAGGTAAAAGATTTGTCCAAGTATAGGACAAATGCACAGGGAATCAGGATAATCGTTATCTTTTTAATAAAGATATTTAAGTTTTTTTTGTCAATTCCTAATATATATTTATACTATTTATACTATGCCATGCGAATTGAAGCCACAACAAAACAAAAGAACCAAGTATCCTGACTTCCTGTGCATTTGTCCCACACCTCACAAATCTTTTGCTACCACTGGAGAGCGCCCTCAGTGTCTCCAACAGGCCAATGTAAACACGGAAAAGGTCTACATTAAAACTACATTAGACAACAATAAACCAATCAGCAAAAGCATTAATTTGATCAAGCTAGATCAATTTTTATAAAAGAAAACAAAAAAACTATTACAGAAGAAATTACATCAAGTACAATTATTTAATATTCTACTACTACAAAATATATTATCCCATCTTGATGTTTTAAAGTGATTTATGTTTTAATCAAAGAATTAAATGTCCTGAAATTGTAGAATAATATATAAATTAATAAAATTATAGCAACATAATTAAAATATACAAAGTAATTGTTTAACAATTAAAAGTTAATACAATATACCTGTACTCTTAATGTTTTATATAATCTTAAACTTAATCTTAACTTTTAAAGTTGTGGATGTATTAAAATAATATATATATATCAATAATCAAACTATTATATTAATAATAAATTACAAAAAAGTATGGATGTATGAAGTTATAGGGATATTAAAATTAATGTCAAAGTTCATGAAAAAAGTCTGATTTCAAAATTAATACTGATGAAATAAACCAACCACGAATATTAAAAAAAAAATTGATGCTGATGTAAAGCAATAAATTTTATACTTGAAACAAAATTTGAAGGCTACATTGTAATGAAATCCTTTTCAGAATGTGTTATAAAATATTGTCTATTAACAAGAGGTTAAAGGTCAATAAGTATGTTTATTTATAGATAAGCATGATTCATAATTAATGTATAAAAAATAAATTGTAACATACTCTACTCCTCATGTTGGCGCACAAGTTCATATCTGAGTCTTTGTCACCTTCAATAAAAGAAGGAGCGTTGGACCCACGGAGAAGATGCCCATGGATTATGTACACGCTAGATATGTACGGTACATTAAACACTCCCCTGCAAGAAGAGAAACGGTCAAATATTTTTATTCATGTATTATTCGGTATAAAAATCTCACATCAAACTCAAAAGGTTATCCTGTGAATTTACATAAAAAGCATGAAACATTAATTATTAAAACAATAATCACAAAAAGTACAATTACAAAACAAACATTAAATCATTAAAACAATAATCACGAAAAGTACAATTACATAACAAATATTACATAATAAACATATAATAAACATTAATATTTTTGCAATCCCAAACTTCAAATTATTATTGAAAATCCCTCTAAGGGCTTGCAGGAACTTAAGATTATGATAATTTGGTAAATGTAATTCAGCCCCGGCTGTGATTTTGATGTAAATATTACAAAGGAACTGAAATTAAAACTATAATAACCATGTATTGTGCAACAATGATCCAATCATAGTAAAGGTAACTTGAAAAGTTTGATAATAATATATTGCACATATTAATAGATACCACTTTATATAATACTTAAATTGACATGCCATAATAGCATTTCAGGAATATATATGAGGAAATCTGTTTATGGTTTTTGGCAACAGCATTACTATTCAAACGTTGATATTGATGAGGATGACGATGATGTTGAAGTTTTTTGTAAATACTAATTAAGTCATCAACAATGATGACAATAATTGGAACAAGGATGGTGACGAAAAGGATGACAAAGGACGATAAGGAGAATAAGGACGAGACCATAACAAACACGATAACCATGATACTGGTGATGATGACGATACCAATAAAAAAAGACAACTATGGCAACGGTAATGATGAAGACGATGATGATCTGATTAGGCCTAAAGATATTGAGGGTCCATATACAATTACGAAACATGCAGGCTTGACAATTTGACCTCTGATGAATAGTGTCCAAAATTTACTACAAACTCGTGAAATGTAATGAGCTACTATCATTATTACGTAACACTTTTAGCATACAATTATAAGCTGCTCCAGGTTTCTTTCCTAGTCTTCTTACTTCCTATGCTTCTTTAATAGTTACGTTAAATTTAATTTATTTTACTAAATAACATACTTACGTAGGCGTACAATGTATGTGTGTGTGTATATGTATATATATATATATATCCCCCGATAAGTATGACCTGTCTCTTATACACATCTTATCATATAAACCTGATCCATATGCAAAGCACATTGATGCATTTACCTGTCTCTTATACACATCTATAGTACTACAGTGTTACGTCACGATACCATGTGATATTACTCCGTTGCTATCGGCGACATAAAATGCGTTCAACCGAATGCCCTTTTCTCCACTGACAAACCATTGATCCCAATTTCTAATGTAATTATTAAGATGTTGTATCTATTCTTAGTTTTTCTTTGTAAATTTTAATTGATGATTAAATGTGTGTTAGATAACTAATATATTGTGAGCTTTTGTGTTTTTAGTACATTCTGATGGTAAATTATTAGGTTTTAAAATGCCTATTCCAGAAAGCCTATTCTAGACCATTAAGATTATGAAGTCATTCAGACGTAATGAACGTCTGGTTAACAACAAAGGGCGCCACCTGGTGTTGTGATGACACAACTGTTGTGCTCTATAGATATACCATTTTGATACATAATACATATTCTAACTGGACCAGCTAGGCCTACGTATACAATGTGTCTGTATTCAACATGTTTCTCAATTTAAAGTTAAAGGTATGCCCTGGTCCAAGACCCTTTTTTGTTCACTTGGATAGTCTTATCTTCACGAATGGATACACTGTTTGAAGCAAGAAATCAAGTTGTCTTTACCCATAACCACTTGTCTATTTCATTCGAGTTGGAAATGTTTAACTTCTAAAATTCTAGGTTCCTCTGTTTGAACTTACAGTCGTTGTCTCCTCACAATGGAAACATAATCCTCTGATCTTGCGTAGTAGTTATCTTCATTGAGGGCACCCCAGAAGTTTGACCACAGCCTGCCATACTTCGTAAACATTGGCGCAAGAACGGTGCTACAAGAAAATAAAAATAATAAAGTGTATACCTACAATCAGGTTCATAAATGAAATATGAAGATAGTTTAATGCACATAGCAAAAAATGAAGTGATTTTATGGGGAAGATATATACAAGAACATGGATGAACAGTTTGATAAAAGCAAAATTTTAAGGAATGCTAGTTCAAATTTCTTCGATTTTGTAAATAGATTTTTATAACACATCCAAGACATACACCTTGTTTGTGTGTTTGTCATGACAAAAAAAAAGCAACTTAAAAAATTAAGTTTGCTATTCGCATATATTATTGGCTCATGTGAATAAAAAAATTACTTTTATGTACATACCGATTTTGTTCAATCAGAATCTTTATCAACCTGGGATTATGAATCTGACTTGGACTATCAATGGACAGGTAATAGTCACAGGATATTGCACCACAGTATTCTCTGAAAAAAAAAGGAAAACAGAAATTAATGTTTTTTAAATGTCTTTCTGAATTTTCAAAATTTGATGTTTGACAATTTTAATAGTAACTAGGCCCAACGTCGATGGGGACCACGGTTCCTATTAACGTTACCCCCACACCCTTAACCACCCCACCCACTCTGCAGGGTTACGCACTGCTGAGGGCCAAGACCATCCTACTAAGCCCAAAAAAATTCGCATCAAACACACTCTTCGGACCAACGGCCAAACTGACAGAAAAGTAGGCTAAACCCAGCCTATAGCTCCTTACTCAGAGAGGAGTGAGAGTAAAACAGTGTTCACCTCCTGAATCTAATCATCAAAGTCTAGAACTGTACGGTTAGTAGTGGGCCCTAAGTCGAATCCAAATAACGTTCTAGCAGCTGCCACCTAGATTAAGCTTATGGCTCTTATACTGTGAACTGCTTAATTGGTTGTACTACCATAGATTCTGTTTCGTTGTCAGCCTACGTCACTACGGAATAGTACAAGAGAGATACGCATGCGCATGTCAGTTGTATTACGTTCATGTGTATCAGTTGAAAGTAGAATTTATATCCCAAGCAAAACAATTAAAATTCCAGAAACTATGTGGAAGAATTGAAGTGGAAAATTTTTCCCGAAAACCAAAGAAAAGTAGATGATCCATTATGTGTTGCTTGATTGAGTTATCTTCTGTTTGAAGGTATGAATTTAGAAGAAAGTTCAGGCTCAGACGAAACGAACCCGCGCTGTCGATTGCTAGTGGCGAGAATCCGGCGATAGATGCAGACTTGGGCCTGCTCGATGTTCTCTCAGCCATGCAGTGTAGCATGGATGGCACAAACAAACAAGATACTATTAGATCTGAAAGATCAGAAAACACTAGCTTCAGAAGAAGCACTAACACCAGCCTCAGAGGAGGCACATACACCAACCTCAGAGGAGGTACAAAACAATGAAGCAGGATGCTTCTACATCTAGGCCTAGGCCTATGCCACAGCCTAATAATAAGTAAAAGAAAAAAAAAGAGGCAGGGAGAATGTTACAAATAACAGATCATCAGTTATCGTTATGGATAGTGAGGCCGATACTATTAGTCTCTTTGGAGGTGATGAACTCAATGAGTCTGATTCGGATGATAATGGTACGTTCTTAGATGAGATAGATCAATCTCTTCGTGCCTCAGACAGGCAGGGACCTGAAATCTCACAGAGGCTTGCAAAGATTGTAAACGAGAAATTCTTGACTGCTTTAGATCAAAGCAAAAGACAGAAATATCCCTAGCAATTGTGATCAGTTTTATGTGCCAAATATATCTAAAATTCTCATACAGTGGAAACCTCTATAAGTATATTACATATCCATGGCCTTTCAATTGGTCCACGGAAATTTACCAAACTTTTGAAACCACCACTAAGTAGCTTGCGTGAAAAGGGGCATATTATTTGGGCATATATTGATGACCTTCTTTTAGTGGGAGGTTCTTAAGATCAATGCAAGCTTAATGTATAAAATATAGAGACCTTTGACAAAATGGTTTTGTCATACACCCTGATAAATCTGTACTTATTCCACAGAAACAAATCCACTTTCTTGGTTTTAATATTGATTCTAGCACTATGAGGATAACTCTGACTAAGAAAAAGATTTTAAAACTATCAATTAAATTGGAGCATTTTTATTAAAGAGAACCAAGCCCTACAATCAGGGAAGTAGCTCAGGTGATTGGTTATGTGTTGTCAAGTTTCCCTGCTGTTTGATTTGACCAATGCCATTATAGAGCTTTTTAGAGAACGATAAGATCTTGGCTTTAAAAATTTCTAAGGGAAACTTTGATGTTAGAATACATCTATCTCCATAGTATAGGCTATAGGCTATGTCTGATATTGAGTGGTGTTAAGAAACTTTCATTCTTTCAATATTATTAGACATTCTCCTATTGATGTAACAATATACACAGATCTGCTTCCCTCACTGGTTGGAGGGCATCAAAAGGGAAACAGTCCACAGGTGGCCATTGGACTCGGGATGAAGTTGAAAATCATATTAACTACCTTGAGCTTATGGCTGCATACTTTGGTTTGGGATCATTTATAGATAATATTAGAGAAAACATGTCAAATTAATGATAGACAACAGCTGTAGCTGTGGTTAACAATAAAGATACATGTTACAGTAAGCCATGCAATTCAGTAGCATGTAAAATATGAAATTTTAGTGAGGAAATTAGAATTTGGCTTAGAGCAGCACATATTCCAGGGGTCCTAAATAGGACCGCTGAATTTGAGTCGAGAAAACAAAATATCGACACTGAATGGATGTTGGATTCTAATTCAGTATATTACTGAAATCTCTGTCAGAATTGTCCGTAAATATCCATGTATTGACTTATTTGCATCCAGAGTGAATAAACAGTGTAAAGGCTATGTATCATATAAATCTGATCCATATGCAAAGCACATTGATGCATTTACCATATTATGGTCAAATTTACTATGTTCCTGTTTCCCTCATTTAGCTGTATTCTCCAAGTAATACAAAAAATAATGGAGGACAAGGTGGAGGCAGTTCTTGTAGTGCCAGACTGGATCTCAGATAAGGTACCCACTCCTACAGGGAATATTAAAGCCCCATTCCCAGCAAAATTTCAGTTGTTAAGAAAAATCTGATTTTAATATATGTTATAAAGACATATAAAAACCCAACTCCTCCACTTGACATTGAGCCAACTAATCTGCTCTTAAGACTGATATGCGCATGCGTAGTACTCTCTCTCGTACAACTCCTCCACTCCTGGCTAACAACTCACAGAATTACATTAAACTTCAACTTACAGGTAAGTCTCGTTTAATTTTCAATTATGAAGGTGGAAACAATGACGTAACTTGGACATATTTCAAATCCAGACCTAGGATAGACAACCTAGCCTAGAAACTAGTTTTCAAGTTAAAATTGACAAAAACTAACATAAGCTTGATATAGAAAAATATTTATGCAAAAAAAAAAAATATTTTAAAAATGTGAGCCTACGGCTAGATTTTTTAGAATTTAGGTTGGTCGGGTTTGATTAATACTGGACTTTTGGTGTCTTCTATACTTACATTCCTTTTTGTCTTGCTTCACCTTCTGTAATCTCAATGGCTGGTTGAATGTATTTCAGGGATGCATACTGGTGAGCAAAATCTCTTGTGAAATTATTAACATGGTTAAAGTGGTACATTTCCTGAAGATACAATAAAATATATCATTTGTTAAAGTATAAAAAATACTTCAATTTGAATAAAATTGAGAAGATTTTGTTTATTTATTAAGACAATTTAGAGGGCGTCCCCATACTTCGGTTTGGGTGCTGGCTTGGCTTAGAACTTTTATCTTTATTCTTTCACGTTTCCAAATATCTTACATTTGTTTTCATAGTGCATAGAAACTTTTTGTATTTTGCACATTATAAATTTTATACCAACAACCCCATAAATGCCAACACTCCTGTTTTGGCTGGGAGACTCCCGTTTTGGTGCTCATGCCAGGCCAATTTTTTTTGTCATGTTTATTTCACATGCTCTCCCATTTTACAAATTAAAATTGCATAGGCCTACTTATATATTAATTTGCCTTTTCTTGTAATAAATACTACAGAAAAAACTCAATGTTTACATATTTTTTCAATATTTTACGACTAGAATACTTGTACAGTATAAGGAAGCTTGACCAGATTTTACGTTGAATAATTAGACATGAAGTTACAGAAGTTTCTAGAATACCGGCGCAGTAATTATCTGTATTAATTTAAGCTCATTGAAAACGCATTTTATGACTAATGTTGAATCCAGATTTTGTATCTTGTACTGAAAAGGCTAGCAAATGAGAAACTGATACTTAATGAGCACAGGTGTAGCCACACAAAACAATATGTGATTTTATTCAAACACGTTAAAATCATGATAATTTTATTATTGGAAACACATGATCATCATAAGATTCATGAGATTTGCCTTTATAATACGTTAAATTGCTAAAACTTCCAGACCCCCATACAATAAAGACACACCCCTCACCCTCCAACAGGCCAAGGCCTACAGTGGTACCTTGTGCCAAATTCTCCTGATTTTTACTATCAAAATGTTGGCGTGCATGTTAACCATTGCATGCTCTTAAGAGGTGTAATTTACACCTGAATAATACCACATTGTAACAGCTTGTGGACACTGGTAGTGAATTTGTTTGAAATATATTTAACATGACCATACTTACATTATTGTGGATAAACAAGTCAATTTTGTTCTTCGGATAATCAAGACTAAGAACGCCGTCGAAGAATTGAGCAATGAATGGAGTTGCTTGCTCAATGAAAATAGCCATCAGAACCTGGGGCAAGTCCTCTTCCTAAACAAAAAATAAAATAATTATGACAGCGAGATGGGGTGTGAGCCAGTGGAGCACGGCATGACGGTGAGATGGGGTTGTAGGCTGATGGATACCTCTTCAAGGCCAGCATGACGGCAAGCTGGTGGCCTACCTCTATGCCGGGGAGACGGGGTTTGGGGGTAAGCTGGTGGCTCCTCTAAGCAGGGTACTTTTACTATGGTCTCTAGACTGCAATAAAAATTGCAACACCGAATTCTCATTAGGTTGGTGTCATATTTGTGAGCTGTCGTGAAAAAATGAGTAAGATCATTTTAAAGTTCAGACTAAAAACCTACTTAAGAAAAAATCGCCTCTAAAGATAAACAACTGATAAATTTTGTGTTGGTTTTCCTATCTATTTTGAAAAATAACTTTACAAAATGTGCCTCAAAAACATGATTACCTTAGGGTTGTCAACTCGGAAAAATACATATTACTATGAAAAATACATATTAAACTTAGAAAAATTGAAACCTAAAATATCACTTCAGATATATTTTCTTGAATATATCAAATTGACCTGGCGTACCACAAGACTCATTTTGTCAAGACAGCTCACATTGGCTTTCCCTTGCACACATTTCACTTCATGTTTGATAACATGATAGAACATATTCTTTACCTCCACATTATGTAAACTAAAGGTGTTTTCATCGCAAGTCTTGCATCCAGACTCAAGTGTCCAATGATTGTTGAGGTAATTTCCAAGTAAATTTAAAGCTAACTGAAATAAAAAAAAAATATATAAACCATACAAATGAAATATTCAATTTATCATTTGAGACTTATGAGCTTTTACCATACTACTATGTCCGAACTCTTACCTACAAAACACCTAATTAAATATATTTTCTATTTTTAACATGTTCATGTTTACTAAATAAAAATAAAATCATGAAAAAATTCAACAATGGTACCGTGGTAAAGGAGAACACCAAATAATGTAAAGTCATTTTTTGGAGCTCTGTTTAAATTCAGGCTCCGAGGAAAACATTTTTTTCATATGTTGAAACTCATTTTTTTAAGACGGAAAAAAGTAGTGAATGAGATACAGATTTTTGAATATTTAAAAACTGCGAAAAAAAAGAAGCATAACCGCACTTTTTTACACCTTTTTCCTTCACTTTTTAAACATTCACAAATTGGTATCTCATTCACCATTCCCCAGTTTTTCGTGAAACAACTGTTTTGTCTTAGAAATATCAGTTATACAACATATCAAAGTTGGTTTTTCCTCTTGAGTCTGACTTTAAATGGAATTTCTTTTAGCACATCTAATTTTGTTTTTCTGTTTATAGTGATACCCATCGACACTGACTTTCAGAAGACAAATGATAATAAAGTGGTAATTCAGTAGTAATGGTAATACAGTATAAAACACAAGTACGGTACACACTTAAATACGGTACAAGTTAATATATTGGGTTTTTTGGAAGAGCTAATAAGATAGAAATTTTTGAATAATTAGGAAGTTTATTTGTACAAAAAAAAAATATTTAGAATGTTCATTTGTACAAAACTAAAATATCTTGAAATAAAAAAAAAAAATTCTAAAAATTGACGTGATTCTAACTCACAACCTTAAATTCTTTAGAGCACATCTTTAACCAACCGCGCCATTCGATGTGCCCTATTAGTGGTATGGCAGTAATGTACTGTCCTTGCTGAAACCCCTGTTTTGTTGTGTAGGTATAGGGGAACCCTGGAGTTCAACTTAAAAAAAGGGCGATGAACGTTTGTTGGAAATCACGTGTACAAAATTTCCTGCACAACCTTTCAAATCTGGTGACGTCTGATGCTTTTACAGGTAACAGCAGTGAGGGTCTGGAGTCAGCGCCTTGCGCGAACCCAATAGACGCACAATAAACAAACATGGCTTTTTGTCTTATATCTAAATATAATCAGTGGACCACTTGGTTTTTACAGTAGTAAATATATGCAGATTTGTTAAATTTGCGGGTGATGGGTTATTTTTTCGGGAGATTTTGGTCCGGTTGTGGGTGTGTGGAAAGTCGCCATGTTCTCCGTGAAACTCCCGCACCTTGCGGGAGACTTGAGACCCCTGGAAAGAAAAGATAAACTACAAAAATCACAAAATGATCCAAGAATATTATTGAAGACTTTAGAAAACTAAATCACTCTAACCTTGGAAGGTCCGTTGCCATGGATGACTGATGGAAGTGTGTTGTATTTGGCATTGTGTAAGTAACTTGCATCATTCAAAAATTTAACTTTTACATCCTCTGAAATCAATCGAAGAAAATAAGTGAAAGACCAAATATTTAAGACAAACATATAATGTAACTTTTAAAGTCAATTTCATATTCTTGCAGCTTTCTCTGTCATCTCGCCAGCTTCTGTGGACGGATGGATGGATTTATTTATTCTGTGTAAACATTGAGGATAACCCACAAACGAAAGTCTGAAAAAAGACTTATTTCCAGTGGGGTCCTCCTGGTGGTGAATGGGCAGTAGACCGGGAGAAATCCCTTAAACTGACTGTGGCCTAGTTTTTTTTTTATTTGTTCATTGTATTTTTCTACGCACAAATTTAATAAAAAGTCCATTGAATAATATACTTAAAAGTAATATAAGTCTTTACTTTATACATTAACACCACAATATAAAGTGTGTGGATGGAGGCCAAAATAAGTTTAAGAACAGACAAGCCACCAGTTGAAATTAAAATTGAAATTAAATTGAAGTGGCAGATTAAAAACAAAAATTATTATAAAGTAACAAAAGTAATTCAAAAAAGGTAAAAAGGTTACAGGTAGGTCAAGGTTTAAACGATATTTTAAGATGCTGTCGCCAAAAAAAAAAAAAAAAGCTAAAAATCAAAGACTTAATATAAAAGATAACAAATTAGACAATTATACATAATATAGGTGGCAGCATATATTTAATATGTCTGGGAATGATTTGGTCACATGACAAATCCGAGTGTTGGAATCGTGTGACACCACAAGAGGGAAAATAGTATTTTACTTATGATTACCAACTTTATAAATTTTGACTACCATGAGTATCAGGAAAATTATCATTTTGTATATCTGTAATTACTTACGTGTTGCTCCATTGAGATTTTGAAAAATATACGCTTCAGTGTCCAACTTTATTTTCCAAGAGCTCTAAAAATTAAAAATAGCAACAAAAGTACAGTAGTTTCATTACGATGTGAGTTTGCGTCAGAAAAAGTAATTTTAACTATAAAATGTCATCAATCAAGTTGGTGATATAATTAGATATAGATTATTACTATGTGAACATGCTTCGCTGGTTGTCAACCAGCTGGCAAAGCTGTACACACAGAAGGGCAAGCATACGTTTCGTTGAGGTTGTACTTAACGTTCGACATTTGCAGTAGCATGTAGGTTGTTGGGCTTCTGATCGTGAGATCAGGAGTATAAATTGGAGGGGGAGGCCATGCTGTTAACCTGCTCGTCGGTGACCCTGCTCCGACTGTTCCAGTCAATTAATAACAGCAACTAGAATCAATTACATGCGATTATTCCCTAAAAGGAAGCTACATTAAAAAGCTCCTGTGTAGCTCTTGTGATCCATACAAACAAACGAACTACTTTGTTGGGTTTTTACTTAATGTGGCTAACATACTCAATGGATAACTCCCAATCGCATACGCCAATAGGTTTTACATCTAGGAAAATTTGTTATGATTACTGTAAAACCAATTCTATCAACCTTTCATTTAGTGCGTATGGATTTGATTATGGGACAATAACAACCACTAGAATTAAGAATTGGTTTCAGACTAGTATAACAATCACCCTGTTGTCTTTTCTTTTTCCCTCTATTAAAACACTGACACTTACTCTTAACTTTTCATCTAAATACAACTTTGTGAAGAACAGCTGATCATCTCCAGCATCAACAATAGATTTATACGTCAGTGATTTCCATATATAGTCCGCATAGCCAATAATAAGACCAGAGTTTAAAAATCTGTAACCTTCAACTTTTGGGTAAACATGCTAAAAAGAAGGAAGGAAGCAAAATATTATCATCTTTTTTTCCACATCCAACACAAGTAGCTCTCCAATCACAGGATGAAAGGATGCTTAAACTAAGTCTCTCTATGACAGGGGTGGGCATCAACATGGGTCGAAGGGCCAAACTGAATTTTTCATTTAACACTGAGGGACACAAGCAAACCTTAGGCTATGGGGAAAAATATTCATACTGCTTTTTATACCTTATTACGCTCAATTTCATTGTTATTTTTTACAGATTATTCGCAATCAGGCTATACACCAAAGGGTTTTCTAGCCAGAGATGGTAGGTAGGCCTCTGTTTTGGGGTTTTTAATGTATTTTCGTGGGTCGCCACAGAATTGTCAGCCCTAATGTGGTGAGTGGGCTGCACTTTGCCCACCTGTGCTGTATGAGGCATAGAGAGTGGAGTTGTTTTTGTTTCTGATAAAAAAAAAAGTTTACTGTGGAATTGACCCCAGACCACAATAAGATCAAGCATCCATGCAATTAATTTCATCACCTCATCACATAACTTCATCACCACCTCATCACATGGCATCATAATATAACTTTATCACCACCTTACAGTATAACACCATATTATCATCACCATAAGACCAATATCATCATAACTTCATCCCTACTTTATCACATGGCATCAAAATAATGTTATCACCATCTTATCACATCATATCATAATCATCACTAGACCATTATCATCACAAAACTTCATCACCACCTCATCACATGGCATCATAATATTACTTAATCACATTTCATCCCCTTATCGCATCACTTTCTCACCACCTCATAATACAGACATCAATTATTACCATCATTACAGCCAATATCATCACCGTCATCATCATAATCTAAAGATAACGCCATCACTATTAACCTCACAATAATCATCTACTGTATTACCTAGGTTCATATGGGATTTAAAATAAATGAAGTAGCTGGTCTAGTTGCCAAGTTAACTGGATTAAGATCACAAATTGTGTTCAAAGGTTAGTTAGAGCCAGAGAAATAGAATGATAAAATAAGTATGCAACAGTGACCATCCCATGACCACGCAGGAGTCTGATTATCCATGGATTTTGGTTTCCCCACTGGGTTATACTTCCTGCCTTATTAAGGCTCAGCCACTGGATTATTAGAAGTTAGTCAACATAGTACATCTAATTGAATTTTAGCCAGATCATGCGGATGAGCCATTTAATTTATTGCCCTTAGTTGGATGTGAACTAACCGATTTATCAACCACATCATACAGTACACATACAGTAAAACCTCAAATTGAAGCCCTGGATTTCTTCTTTTTTTTTTTTTGCAAATGTTGGATGGGCTTCTTTTCGAGGTGCGCTTCAATTTGAGATGGGCTTCTTTTTCGAGGCTTACTTTTGCAAAGTAAAGAGGGTTCTTCTTTTCAAAATGAATGCTGTAAATTTTGTTAATTTGTACTATAAAACAATAAATATGGCCATTGAACATCAATCTGTAGTAAACCAAGCTTGTTTTTAATTTATTTTATTCTTTATTTTGTTTTCTGGAATTCATGTACAGTGTTTGTACTGTACTATATCAGAAAGAAGCCTATGCTATCTTGATAAGAAGCCCATGGGTTTCTTTTTCGAGATGGGGTTCTTTTCGAGGCTGATTTTGCAAACTAAAGAGGGGGGCTTCAATTCGAGATGGCTTCATCTCGAGATTAAGCCCAGTGGGCTTCAACTCAAGGTTTTACGGTTATGGTCTTCAAGACTAATCAATAATTGTCAATAATATGTTATCATCATATTTGAAAATATGAATCGTAATTATCAAATTTGCCAAACTTTATTTTAACATTTTGAATAAAAGGTATTGAGCAATTTTTTCTCACCCTAAGTGACTTATCTGGCCAGATCAAGTTTTCAGCCCCAAATACAACATTACTATCTAGATCCTTGAATTTACGAATTATTTCTTTTAATCCTGCCACAAATATTACATCATAACTGAAAGAAAAGAGGATAAAAATATTAAAGAGATGAAGATGTATGCACTGCAAACACGCATGCTGTAGGAAAAATGCCATCTTTGTAAAATCAAAAATTCAAAATTCAGAAGTTGTCTGTCCACAACAGGGGCTGCATGGACCAGCACAATGGGGTACTGTAAGGCCCTACTCATCTCGAAAGGTTTACTCGGTGCTTTAAAGTACTCATAAGGCAAATTGTGTACATTGGGCCTACGATTTATAGTCCTTATCCAAGAAGACTTCTTCCACCACCAGAACCGTAGGCGAACGTGCCGTTCGAGCCAGCGCCGATGTGGCTCTATGTTGTTTTGATACTGTATTAGTTGTATTACAGTTATCACTTCCCTTCCTTGGCAAGCTTAACATCTATTATAATATAATAATTCAAGGTCTACTGTAATATTTTATTGAATAGATAAAACAAATACAAAATAACAACAACCCCTCAACTCTGATTATTAAATATTATAAATAATATATAAATATATTATTATTATTATTATAGATATTATTCTACACAATTTTAATTTGGCCTTGGTTTTGAACATAATATTCATTTCTTTATTGTAAGCAAACATAGATGTAATATGGCAATCTGGGATGGAGGCCTGATGGCCATTAATTGTTTTTTGCCTCTGTTTCCAATGAAATTCTGCAGCTTGAAATTAAAGCTAGCGATACTGATTCTACCAAGGGAATACAAACAGCATTAAACCGCTAACAAATCTCAAAGCTTATATTTTGAAAACATTTTTGAAAACACTCTTGAAGTCATGACAATAATGGCATTATGATGATTGATGGTATACTGTATGTACGATTGATGAAGCTAGCTACTACAGTAATATTTAATGTTATGACATTATTATTTCTAATCATACATTTTAATTTTCAATAAGCTTTTACACAGTTTGACACTAAAGTTCAAAATACACATTTTCTAGACCACATAAAAATTACACTTTCTTCTTCTAGTTACCTTCTGCAATGCAGTCCACAACCATAAAAAAAACTGTAAACATTTACTTTTAGTTATTTATTTGTTTTGCTATAAAAATTAAATAAGAATGTGTCAGCTAAATGGTAAAAATACTACCTCATACCTGTAACAAATTTAATGAAAATTAAGAAACACTATAGTTACATATAAATATTTATATAAATATTATATAAAAACTTTATTTAAATAAATATAAAAACAGATATATACTTGGCAAGATAAAAACATTTCCAAATTAAGGTACCTATTAAACAAATAATCAAACATATTTTTTTAAATAAAGTGCAACTGTATACATTTGTCAATAATATAATACAGGTAAAATATTTTAATACAGTAGGTCTTCCTCTAATAAAAGATCCCTCCAATGTAAGACCACCTTACAATTAAAGAACACTTTTCTGTGATCTTGAATTAATAAATGTCCATTATTATCTTTATTATTCTAATAATAGACCAAAGCTGAAATCCCGGTCCCAAAAAGTGGTCTGCAATTGGAGGGGAACCTGTATATTCACTGGTAATGAATCGCTGATCCATGATGCCATGGGGACGGTTGTATCTTTATCTGTTAAATATTTAGGTTAGTTAAAATGAAACTGAAATTATCTTACCTGTCAGTGAATAGAATAATAGTGTCCGACTCATCTTTGTACTTTTTTAGAGCTTCTATAAATAAATTGATTTTTTGCCCTCCACCAGGACCCCACTGGATATCCCCTCCTGTCCACTTCTTGTGCATCCCTAAGACCTTTAAAAAAAATATATGTTATGTTTTCAGGTTGCAACTAAAGTCTATGCTGTTTTGAGATTCAAAGTACTAATTGTTATAGTATGTGATTTTTCTAAAATATAAGGACAAGTAAATTTGTTCTTTTTTCTTTTTTTTTTGCCAATTTCCGGCTCAAAATGTTCTTATTTTGTTCTCAATTTATTTTTATTTATTATTATTTCTATTCCACTGAACAGTATATCACTGTACTAACATACTATAACGTACTGGTATAACGTATTGAAACCCCTGTTTTGTTTTGTAGGTGTAGGAGAAAACCTTGGGTCTAACTTAAAAAAAGGAGATGAATTTTGTTGGAAATCTCCTCTAGTTTATGAGTACAAAATTGTATGCACTTCCGTTCAAAACTCATGATGCTGGATGCTTTCGAAGTTTTGGTAAACAAGAACAAAAACAAGCAGTGGGGCTCTGGGGTCAGCGCCTTACAGGTACATGGACCCAAAAAAAAAAAGCAATTAATTCAGGTAGTAGTAGCAGTAGTATAGTTCATCACCAAAGTTACTACAAATGATAAACAATCTCATGAACTTCATCTATCTTCTACAATAACGAAGTAGGATTTATGTACATGTACCACCAAATGGATTTAAATGAGTATTTGGTTAATTTCAACCAATCAAAATCAACCAATGCCTGGTCTTGACAACAGATGAAATCAAATTAGCGTGTTATAAATAATTTCACTAATTGAGTATTAAATGTGATGACACAAAATAAAAAGTGTGGTTAAGAAATGAGATAGAAAAATTCCGTAGATATTATTCATGATTATAAATCCATTATTTATCTTGAAATGGTGTGAAGAAATGTTTTTTTCTATGATTGTTCAGTGATTATGAGTAATAAATGACCTTTGGTCGTCAAAAAATAAAAAAATCATCCATCTTGTAAATTCACAGGCCATTTGTGATAAATAAACCAATACTTAATTCATAATTGCATAAAAATAGAATACACCATATTAATGTACATTACCTTCTTTTATATATTTTGAATTCATTCTTTCAATGAAAATAATTCTTTTTTAATATAGCGCATTAAATAAAAATAAAAATCTCAATGCGCTGAAGAGCCGATGAATGCACAGGTGGAAAACGAATTTTGAGGAAAGAAATGTAGATGAAATTGGCATACAGTAAGCTATCAGTTGTGATTTCAATAGAGGGATGTAGCGATGGGCGTCACGTGACCTAACTTGCGTGCTAGATATAAACAATCCACTAACACAGCAGTGTTTTACTGTACATGGAGATTTCTATCACGGCCGTCTCTTGTTCACCGACTCTCAATCAACCCGCATACATCAATCAACTTCTTCCCAAATATGTGCCTGGCCGTTCCCTACGTTCATCTGATCTCAATTTAATTTCTGTCCCTCGCACCAACACTAAGACCTTCGGACACAGATCATTTTCATTTGCTGCAGCCACACTCTGGAATGCACTACCACTTCACATTAAAAAATCAACATCAATTGCTTAATTTAAAAAATCACTCAAAACGCACATTATTCCAACAATAACATGAAGCGCCACTGATAATTACTTCGGTTTTTTAAATGGCGCTATATAAGTTCTTACCTTATTATTATTATTATTATTATTATTATTGCAGTAAAGATCATATTAATTCCCAGTAAACTATATTAAATTGATTGGAAATTAAACTTAAGAATTTTGCATAATGTAATGCTAATTTACTAAGGATACTGGCCGCAAGAGTTCAGATTTTTCGACAAATGTTATACCTAGGCCCCTGCACATCTACAGCATTGTTAAGCTATGAATGATGGTCTTCGATCCGCGACCTAGGCTGCGATGCTAGGGCCAGCTAAGGTTTATGAAGGATCACTTAAATTTCAAAGCATACAATACAAGGAGAACACTAGGATAAGTAAAATAAACACTATTTTGAACAATCGTAATTGCCTTTGCTAGCCATTTACTTCTCACGTTAACAGTGGGTGGTTGTTTCGCAACCATAACATTATCTTTTCCTATGCTGTCACACTGTAATGTTTTTCATGTATCCAAGCTAGGTCACGTGACCACCTGTAAACAATCATCGCTAAATCCCTCTATTGACTGATAGATGAATTTTTATACACTACCTGACATAAATTGAACTCTATATACATAATCACATTGGATTCATATTTTCAAGATTTGAACAAGATGCATTAATTCTAAAACACATACACTGGAAGCCCAACAGTAGTGGCTCCTTGGGGTCGGGGTTTCCAAGACCACATTGATACAAGTCGCTTGTGTCATTTAAGGTGGCACTTTCTCCGCACTGTCTCTCCCCTCGAAACAGAGGAGTACGTGTTTACCTAAGAGGTTTGAGTTTCAGTACAATGATTTATTTCATACAGCAAATTACGTAATACATTACACCCCAGGGAGCTTTAATAATATGCAGGGAGCAAGCGTAACATGATTCCTGATCTTGTATAGGTGGCATATTGATACTTTTGTACAGTATATGAATATGTACGACAGTAATTTACTGTTTATGTGATATTGTAAAGTTCAGTGGAAATGAACTACTGCATATCACCCATAGGCCTAGCTAAAAAAAAAAAAAAAAACACTTTTCAATACTTTATTTAATTTTAGATTAAATTATGACTGCCTACACAAATTCTACTCCTCATTTAGTTTATTTTAATGCATATAACTTTCATTTTTTTTTTTTTTACAAAATTATAGTAAGATAGTAAGTTTATATTCCTTTCAGTAAGGCCTCTGACAACAAAGTCCTGCCTATTATAAATCAATTTAATATTATCAAATATTTGAAGTGTTATTCAATATTTTCAATTAATAATTTGCATTTGAATGCAAGTATAAATCTGGCCTGCTTAAAACTGCCACATATGCACATCTCATCCACCAACACTTGGAACCTTTCGTTCCTGAAAACTATAGATTCAACACTCAACTTGAACATGAAGTGTTCTCATGTGACCACTCCAAACAGCATAGTTTAAAGAATTTGTGTGAAGCTACAGTATGGTTTATCCTTTCGCTATGAAGACCAAGACTTATTATTAATATACTGTACTTTGATTAGCAGAGCTAAAAAAAAACATTCAGAAATACTGTCAGACAGTGGGGAAGCAAAAAGAAAGTTTATAATATTGTTTTCTCATTTTACATAATTGTTCTGCTGTTAAAAACATCTAGGATTAGGCCTGGTCATGAGCGCAGATCTGTTTTGAACCATAGAGATCTAGCTGATATGTGTGAGTCATACAAAAAAAAAATTAAAAACATTGTCTTTGAATATTTACTTTACTTTATACTACTTCAAAGCCATGCGTACACATCCATCTCATCCCCATCATGGTTGAAATTGAACTTTACATACATACAATGTTTAAATATTTATAGTTCATACATTAGTAACAAGTTATATATAAATTATGAAGCAAAAAGAGTACTTAATTTTACACTTTGTACTCGACCTGCTTTAATACCAATTCTAATTACTTTAAAATTTTAATCAACAGTAAATATCATGAAAAATGTGATGAGGTGATGTAAAAGCTTTGAATTGAAATTACAAAGAAAGGAAAGAAACATGATTAATATACAGTGACAAATTGCTAATCTATGAATAAACAATATCAATAAACAAAGGTCCATCACATAATTAAGGGATGATTAGGCAAATAATGTATTGTTATCTATTTAAAAGCTCTGATATCAACATTTAAAGGAGGTTGTTCTTATAGTTTATACTAAAAAAAAAAAAAAAAAAAAAATTACCATGAAACATTGATTTTAGAATATTCTTTCATTGAATTTGCAATCAATGATAGAGTACAGTAGTAGAAAGTGAGGGTAAAAAAAAGAAAAGAAAACAATGCATAGAACCATTAAGGATGATTTATTTTAGAATACTAAATTCTTAATTAAATTAGATTGATATTTCATCAAACCGTTACAGCTAGTCAAAATTCACGGTCAATTATTGAAATAATCGCTCTCTACATGATTTGCCATGCTACTTTATGGACAGGTATAGAATACATTAACTGTGTATAATGCTTCCTATCACCATGGAGGTATATCACAAATCTCTACACATCTGCCTGTCTGAACACAAACTACTCTTTAACAAAACAAACTACTCTTTAACTCTTTATTATTATTATTATTATTATTATTATTATTATTATTATTATTATTATTATTATTATTAATTACTTTAAAAGAAGCTTATGCTATATGTAAAAAGCCAAGGTTTATTATAGCAGCTTAAAAGCATGCCAAGGAATTACATTTGTTTTTCTAATTAGGTAATTAATTATTCATTTTATTTCCTGTACATTATTATTATTATTATTACTATTATTATTATTATTATTATTATTATTATTATTATTATTATTATTATTATTATTACTTTAAAAGAAGCTTATGCTAAATGTAAAAAGCCAAGCTTTATAGCAGCTTAAAAGCATGCCAAGGAATTACATTTGTTTTTCTAGTTAGGTAATTAATTATTCATTTTATTTCCTGTACATAAACCTGGTTCTCAACTGATAACTTGCTCTAATCCACAATTGGTAAGCTTTGTCTCTGAATTGTTTATTCTCCATACTTTCTCCTCATAATGCCTACTTTGATCTAATTGGCTAATTGCCTCATTTAAATAAATGCATATTAATTAGGATTTCTGGTAGCTTGTACTGTATATTTGTCTCTTTGAGTTATGAATTATTATTCCTGATGATGGTTAAATAAAAGATTAAAATGGCCTTGTCAATTTTTTGAATGACTCTCATTTTATTTGTATTTGAACTCAGTGAACATACTGTACTAATGGTTTCTGCCAAGTTGCCAATCTTATTTATACTACTGAACATCCTAGACATTTAAACTACTAGTAGAAAACTGAACTATGATGTGACTCTTTAGACCTGTGTCAGATTTTTGTTTGCAGTGAAA